GGACATGCGCATAGGGCTGATATTGAGATAGTGTGGTAAAGAGAGGAAACGCAACTGCAATTGGAGGGCAACCTACTTTGAGTTGATTTCGCCTGGCCAGTTGCAATTCGCCAGATTCAACAGCTATTTTGTGGAATTCCTTAGCTGTTTCCCAAAACGCCTCGACGCCCATTCCTGTACGGCTGGAGAGCATCATAACCTGTGGGACAGCGAAGACAGAAGAAAGTAGGCTTTTGGCTTCAAATGTTCGCGGCAGTCTCGATAACGAAAAAATATCGGCTAGACTGTCTTATAGGGCCGCCTAGATATCTTTTTCCCCCGCCCAAATGTCCTACGGAATTAGTGGTTAAACATATAATTCTTGCTTAACGAGTGTAAATGAATATGTGATTGTGTTGGAAGTGATCAAAGAATATTAAATGAAAGCCCTATATAGTTGTTTTAATGAGGTAAAAAGAATCCACTCCATCAACATAAACTCCTGTTGCGCAGGAGATTGACGCCTGTTGATTGAAATTTGGCCTCGTAGTAGCGGAATTTAACGAAAAAGAGGAAAGTCGGCCTACTATAAAATGTAAAAGTAGGTTATTATTATGAGTCAAAGGCAAATAGGACCTCTAAAGACAGTCCTATCAAAATATCTTCGCTTAGAGAGCGCATTTCTAACTTTTAAATCCATCCGACCGTTCTCCAAGGGTCACTAGCGAGAAGGGCCTGGCAATTAGTCTGAAAAACTACCTTTGTTATGGCTGGGGCAAGTTGTGTCGGGTCATAATATAAACGCGTATAACAATGTTTTACAACTTTAGGCCCTCCAAAAGTCAGTCAGACGCAAAGCACTAGGCGAGCTAAAAGCAACTGACTTTAAATATACACTAAAGACTATACACACACGGGGCAGACAGCCTATCCAGAGGAAAAAAAGATTGAAAAAATAAATAGGAAACGAAGAGTATGATGAACCTTTGCACGCCACTTCTTCCTTCGAGGAGTTATATAGTGGAGACCACTGGAGTATTCCATGGCGATGCGTCTAGCTGCGGGCAACAGATCGCCATCGGCCTTGTTTATAACAACCAGATCTGCCATCTCGACGATGCCACGCTTCATACCTGCAAATAGAACGGACACGGTAAACATCCAGAATTTCCAAGGGTATAATTCTCATTTGAAAATGCCGATATATGTTACCGAAAGTCCCATGAACTCATCGAAGAGGTGATCGCAAAAGAGGATTTGAAACACAGGGCAGTAAAGAAGTCGAAAGGGATATCGAAACCACAATGAACAGACGCGTTATTAACTAAGCACAGTTCCTGAGACATTACAGCAATTGCCGGTGCCGTTCTACAACTCGGAAGCAACCAGAAGCTATCGAAAACAAAACAATCACAGCTGTTGAAGGCAGAATGAACGCAGATGAATGGGGCTTGTTTTATGGCAAAAATATCCTTTGAGTGTTATAAGTCAGATTGTACAATGGATCAACCTAAGCATATTAATATCCAACATTTGTTATGGGTGTTTCGGAACGAGGGAGTTCCGTTAGCCATCGGTGGACGTTTATCAACAATAAAGGGCGTTGGACTCTTGATGAAAAGGTCACGGGTTCGAACCTCGGGTGGAGCACACCTTGGAGTTGGGTATGACTGGCTGATAACGCCTAATGAACCAGAAATTGCCATTACAGTCTCCCTTGTCTTCGTCGACAATGCTATCTGCGTTTATTTTCCCTGCAATGAGTTTTCATTTTTGGGTGCGTCTACTCATATGACCTAAACGACCACCTTCAGAGGAAGGATATCTTTAAACGCACTACTTTTGTAAATGCTTTTAAGAAATATAATTTTTTTAAGTTTTTGGCAAACACACAGAGAAGAATCTAAATTCAGGGATGAAGTTTGAAAACATGGAAAATCATGAAGTATTCGCCGGAATTTCAAGGTCTAAACAGAGTAATATCACTTTTTATATGCATATTCGCTTGAGCCTAATCATTAGTACTTCAAAGTTTTCGTACATACGTTAACGAAGGCTTGCGAGTAAATGCCGGCATTCGGCAGGAGTAGGGTCCCCTACTGTTGGTACATACATACAGATGACAAGGTACATGCATACAGATGACAAGGTAGTACAAGTAGCTACCAATCCCCGCACGATGTATTATAGATTTGAATCTGGGGAGCAGAGGCAACAGTGCGGGTGGATAGTGAG